ATAAAGGTGGAACAAATGGGTGATAATGCCCAGAGAGAGGGTGTTAGTCATCAATATCAATTAAAACAAATATGTATTGTTCAGCATGGCATGTTGTTGTTTTGCTCTAATTGCTTGATAGAACAAAGTACCGGTATTAGTTTCCTCTAGTGGTTTCAAATAATGAACAAGTTTGAAGTTGGATGCAACCTTGTAAATCTATTCAAATTACAGTTGCTTGAAAATTACCTGGGTTGGTCTTAAAAGGCACAAATTTCATTTACTTAACACCAATGTAATAGCAACAGCATAACCCAGTACAGTCGCACCTTGGTTTTCGAACAGCTTAGTTCCCAAACGTTTTTGGCTCCCAAACGCTCTAAACCCGGAAGTGACTGTTCCGGTTTGCAAACTATTTTTGGAAACCAAATGTCTGACGGGGCTTCTTGTGGCTTCTGATGGGCTGCAGGAGCTTCCTATCAGCCAATCAGAAACTGCACTTTTGGTTTCCGAATGTTTTCGAAGTTGAACGGACTTCCGGGACGGCTTCCATTTGGCTTCCAATGTACGACTGTACTTATGTGATAACTGGTTTTGCTGCATGGAATGACTGTCATAGACCAGCTTTAATAATGAAGTGTTTTCAAGTCATGATTACTATCCACATGGCAATTGTAGTTGTTACTATGAGGTGAGCTTCTACATTTTTAAAATCAGTCTCTGGTCATTCCAAGCTGATTTCATTTCAGCAGTCCAGTTTAAGAAGACAAGCTATTTTTGTCGTGAAGATTGTTCAGTGCCCGCTGGTGTGGTGGGGCAGAGCCACCAAGCCACCCTCCACACACTAACTGCGCTATCCCCCTATCTGAAGGGGTGGGAAGGCCGTAGTGAGTTCATGCGGTATCTAATTTGGGGGCTCTCTCCCTTTCCTGTAGTTCTAACAGTAATATAAGACTTTTTAGCAAATATTGTTCTCCTTTCCCTCCCACATCTAGATGCCTTTGTCGGAGGGGTCATCGGCCTCATGTTTGCTTACATTTGCTACAGACAACACTACCCTCCGTTGGGTAACCTGTCTTGTCACAAGCCTTACGTCAGTCTGCTTGCTCAGACCGTGCTGAAGAAAGAAGAGGCACCCACAGTGGATAATGCAACCAGCCTGCCTCTGGAAGGGATAACAGAAGGACCGGTATGACTAATACACATGCAGGATGAACTTCTAGCCCTTTCATACATTCCGCCAATCCAAACTGGTCTCTCTGCATAACAAATGTCTCTTAAACAGCTGTGATTCTGCCATACCCCTCCCTTACTTTTCCATATCCTTTTCTTTCCCCTCACACACCTCTGTCCTGTGTTTCCCACACCCTCTGTTCCATGCAAAAGCAATGATTGTTTAAGGGGACAAATACAGAACTAAGATCCGTGAGACGCCGCTCATGATTACTAATCTCTATTTACATGGCACTTCCAGCGTGCAGAGTGCTAGCTTATTCATACTTACCAACAGCCGTCTGAGGCAGGTCATTATTATTCCCATTTTATAGATGGGTGGCAGAGGCTGGAAGAGAATGTGTTGCTCAAGGCCACCCAGTGAACCTGTGGCTGAGCTAGAACACGGATCAGGACCAACTCTTACTCGGATGGACCATATCGACTGCAAAGGGATTAAATATCTTCTGCTAAGAAGTTAAAGGCATTCTGAGCTGTGATTGACACCACACCTTCTTTTCCGAAGGCATTCAACATGTATCAAAAAGGTTTATTTCTTTTATGTCTCATAACTCTGTATGTGGTTACAAGAGCATTCTGCGTGTCTCTCGGTTGTCTAACACGTAGCAGTGCAAATATCTTTGTGCCGCCCATCAAGTCTGGCAGCGTTCTTCTGTGCTGACTATAATGAAATGATGGTTTTAAATATACAAAAGAGCAAGAGCTGGAGGAGGCCAAGATTGCAGGCATCAGTCATTCCTGAGCAAGATGTCCACAGCACAGTTATGCAAAGACCTTGGAACTCTCAGCTGGCAATAACGTATATTGATAGGATCACTTGGACACTCTTAATATTAACACATTAGCGGAACGTTTTTTCCCCTTTCCCTTGAGAGCATAATTTACATTCAAGCTGAATAACTCATTGCCAAACAGCAACTTGTAGTCCTTTTTTTAAAGTAACAAAACAAAACAACCTAACACCGAAAATATCCTGAATTGTGAAGGTGAAAAAAACAACACATTTTTGTGAATATGTGAGCTAGAGTCACATTAGTTTAATGGGTTTTCCTTCCTTTGTTTATTTGCTGGGGGTTTTAATAGTTTGCCATTCATGGCAATCTGTTTTTGGGAAGATTGACTCTCCCTGTCCCCACCAATGCTATATTAACTTGTGTTATCTTCTGCATCTGCAATTCTGAATCTAGCACTTTCCCAAGTACCTTGTTTGCATAGCTGTCAATGTTTCCCTTTTTTAAAGGGAAATTCCCTTATTCCGAATAGGATTCCTCACAAGAAAAGGGAAAAGTTGACAGCTATGCTTGTTTGGGAGGCTGCTGTTATATTACTACAAGTGCATGCATGGGAGGGTGTGTGTGTGGCAGCACTCAGTGGCATATATGTGAACAATCGTAAACCTCATTTCAGAAGTCTGTGGCAAAAAGCGAGGACTCCCAGCCGAGCATGCTGCTTTGGTGAACTCCATAGGGACCTTTCACTCGTGTGCAGCCTTTCGCTTATGCAAGGTTGTTGGCTGTGTTCGAAGTATGAACTAGCCCACTGTATTTTGATAAGTACCTCAGGCTGCACCTCAGATTCGTGAACCTGCTGTGATATTTCACAGGCATGCACAAGACTGCATCTACTGACAAAAAGGTTTATATCCTGTTCATTATTCCATCAGCCCCTCTTCAGATTTCAGATATCTCAGCAAAAACTCACAAAGTCATTGGCCACTGTTTGGTGTGGTGAATAACAAGGGTGACTCAAGGGAGATTTTTCTTTCTTCGGTCCCTCATTGCACACTGCGCACCCAGTGTTGGGAGCAATGCTCACAGCCTCAGGACATGAATACAACCACGTGGTCCAGGTTGCTGCCTTGAGCATCTTTTCCCCAGTCTAGTTAGGGATGCATTGGTGAAGGTCTCTGCCACCCTTATAGAAGCGGAGCAATTATGTAGCCTATCCACATTCATTAATCTTTCCCTCCTTTATTTCTTCTTCTTCCATTAATTCTTTGTGCAAGTGTCATACTGCAGTGAAATCATGTCCCTTTTGATGGCAGAAAGAAAAACATGCCGCTGAAATCTTTATAAAAGCGTATTAGGGAAGAAGATGTTTTATGTAATAATCTGACAATGGGATTTTTTGGTTTGATCAGCTAGCTGGACTAACGGAGGCTGCTTTGATCAATGCTACCCATTATGGTGCTTTCAACTGGAAGGGATTGCTACCATAGCTATACTTACACCTAATGTGTGCCTGATGGACTATGCATTGGCCTAGTCTGTAATTTAACAAGTTCACATCCCCCTATAAAAACTGAACATTTTCTTTGCCAATTTTTTCCTTTTTTGAGGGGGGTCAGGGGTTACCTGAAGGAAGTGATTGTTGGTTGACAACTATGATTTTGGGGGGCAGAGGTGAGAACAGATGAACCCCCCTTTTTAAAATAGATCCATTGCACACAGTAAAATAAAAAAAACCTGAAATGAGGATTGTATATACTGAAAATATACAATAAATTTGAATCACATTCTTTTAAAAGCCCCATAGAAATTAATAGGAAGAGACATTTGTGTTCCTGTGTGTGTGTTTTATGTAAATATATTGGGATGTAAAATATACTGTGGAGATATGGATCTTACACCTCTGTATGTATGAGAGAAAAGGAAATTATGAATGGGTGGAAAGTCAGAATAGTATCAGGATTCACTTTTCCTGAATATGCAATGACATAACTTTTGCCTACCTTATAGGGTTTGGGAAGTTTTGCAGTATTTCCCCCAATGATCAGATACTTACATATACTCTGAATCACTTGTCTTTACTGTCTTACTAGTGAAATTTTCACAATGGTCCTAGATCTATATTTTTGAGAGAAAAAAATTCTTACAGAATGAATTCTGTTATAGAGGTGCTCTAATTTTTTTATTCAGACATCTGTCTATGCATGAAACAAACTGTTCAAAACCTTAGTATGTTATATGTGCCAACTGTGGTTGGAGGAGGGACTGTGGGAATGTCCTGAAGAACACCCAAAGCCTTTGTCATGGGAACCGGCCTTTAAGCAGGAGGCGTTGCTGAAGTTGCCCTGGGCTTAAAAAAGCTTTCCAGGAGGTTTAGCTGCTCCTGTGCCTTCAGGTGTCCTGGGGAGACTAGTAGATCAGGCACAAGGTTTCTCTCCAAAGGTCTGTTTTCCCCTGCTTCGTTTCCTTTGAGGCTGGCCCCAATCTGCTATTGTACTACTCATACATGCCCTCCACCAATGTCACTATATTTGGGATAAAAACTGAAAGTTGCTGCACTGGCACATCTCGAGTTTCTAAACCAGGTGGAGCTTTGGAGGCTACCAAGTCAAGTTGACTTTATGGGAAACTTCAGGCCCAGGAGGCAAATCCAGCAATCTAGGCCTCTCTGTCTGTGGCCCTTGAGACCCCCTCTAGGCCATACATCCCCAAAGCCACATGCCTCACCAGGCATGTTCCTTGAGTCTTTTGACTTGGCTGAAATATGTAATTGAACTCTGATAATGCGTCTTGATGGAGGATCGAGAGAGGTGTGTTAGTGTGAAGAAGCTAGCATGCTGTATGAAGGTAAAATTCATGCTTGTTGCTCTTACCACTTTTGCCACTGATATGTGGCCCCCAGAAAGTTGCCCAGGTCGGTGAATGTGGCCCTCAAGCTCTGGCTTAATCCATGTGTTTTTTTGAAAAAACTTCTCATGATGGCCCAGTTTACAGGAACAAACTGAACATGGTGTCCATTTCAAAAGCAAGAACGCAACCTCTTGTAGCAAGCCATTTGTGCACCACAATTCACTATGCAGAGCATTTGACTTCCACCGTACCATTCCAAGCTCTTTTCTGTGGCTTGCAGTGTCAATAGGAAAAATTGGCCTGGTCACTATGTAGAGCAGCTTCACTCTGCTGATTTGAATGTAGCCACTGTTCCAGTATGCATTTGGATCTTGGCTTGATTCACATAATGATGTTAAGGTATCATCAATCATTCTTAATTTTCCTCATAAATGTTCCCTCTTCCATGACAAAGCTGCCTTCCTAGTTTCCTCTCACAACAAGACTGAATGTTTCTAAGTGATGCATTAAATGCATTTCGTTCTGCCTAATTCTTAAAAATGAATGAAATACATGGGCTCTCCTCCAGAATGCTGTATGAACTCACCATGTCTTGGAAGAAGACATCCCTTCCTCCTCCAGCCATTTCCACCCATTTCCTTAAGATATAATTAGAAGACTTGCCAACCATTAAATGAATCCCGGCTAACCAGATTATAGAATGTGGCATTCAGTGCCACAAAAATATATCTATACTGCTAGATAAATAGTTGGGAGAGACTTTGCAATGCGGCAAAAGAATGAAGTGTATTTAATGGAGGTAATTACAATGAGGGCCATAAAAGAATCCATGTAAAAGCTTTTGATTTTAATGTAATTAAAATTTACTGAGGATGTAATGATGTAAACCTTACGGAAATATCCAGAAGAGCTGCAGTTACTAGTGCAAGTTGGTGAGGAAAAGGCATTTTTGTGGATCAGTGTCTTTTTAATTTTGTGCTTTTAATGTGAAGGAAATGTAAATGCTGTAATGCACCAATAAAAATGAACTTGAATGTGGGAACTTTGTACATTGTGATGCTGTAATTTTTATTTTGTTGGCAAGAGACTTGGCTTTCTAAGCCCTACTGACTTCTGAATGTTGATAATGTTGTCAAGTAGCTGTCATCAAGCTGGTATTGGGAAGTACCCATGGCTGTCTCACAAAGGAATGTCGTCTGTAATATTCCTTGAATCCCTAAATGATCTTATTTCTTTCCTTTTTATACAACTCCCGCAATCCAATTTTCTGGTCATAGATTCAGCTTCGTTCATGTTTACCTCTCTACGTTCTGCCAGGAGAAACTGTGGTTTCTGTGATGCATGTGAGAGCGACTGATAGCATATGATGATATGATTCTGTGCATCAAAATGTTTGGCTTAGCAGAGATGGTATATTATGTCCTTTAACTGAAAGCAAGTAGCATCATATTCTTAGGGCCTAATCAACTCAGAGCAATAGATGCCCAGGTGACTTTGAATTATAGCTTCAGGGGAAAATGGAGAGAAAAGAAAGCCAGTAGACTATAAACCAGGTTTTTAACACAGCTGCCTGGTTCAGTGGACACATTCAGGCTCTGGGTATCTGTTTCTCTGGCAGTGAAACATGAATTATGATTCAGTCTTCTGCTTGGTTTTTTTTAAAAGCAGAAGATGCTAAATTTTGGCTTCATTCATCCTAGCCCTGTTGCTGGTAGGTTGGTAGAAGCAGAAAATGCATAGATTAATTACAGGACAGTAGAGATTTGTCTCTAGTTTTGCATCTGGTTATTTAGCACAAATATAGCCTATGTGGCTCCCTCCAGACATTGCAGACTCCAACTCCTATCAGCTTCAGTCAACATAACTAGTGGTTAGGGCAGATGGAAGTGGTATCACAAAGCAGATGGAGGGCACTATATTGACTACCCTTGATGTATTATCATTATCATTATTATTATTATTTATTATTTCAATTTATACACCGCCCTATACCCTATATAATTGGTCATGGTTGGGGGACCTGTTTCCCTTCAGGTTTTTCTCAACTACAACTCCCATCATCCTCGATTATTGGCCATCCTAGTTGAGGCTGATGGAAGTATGAGTTGATGATATCTGGAGAGCCATAGATGCCCTACCCCTGATCAATAGTTTTGACAAAGCTAATGCTATATTTACAAAGCACTTATTATAGCTTCAGGCAACCCAACTGCACAATTTATTTATTTTTGATAAGTGGTTCCCACATTCTCAAAGCAGTCCCTTTTCTGTTCCTAATTCTTATCCCTTATGCACAATAAAAATTCAATCGTAGCTATATTACACAATATTTTCTTGTTGGCAGCCATCAATGCATACTGAAATGACAATGTGTATATTGGGAGAAGTTGCCTTCTGTGCATATAATAAGAACTCACTCAAAGAGAGCTTTTGGCACTCAGCAGATTTGTGCTATTTCATACAGTGGTACTCAATGCATTGGATAGCTGGTCAGATAACTGAGTAAAGTCTGGTTTAGTGGTATCATTGAAATTTGTATTTCTAGGTTCACAGATATTAGTCTTGCAAGCATACAATACTCACCTGAAATACAAGGTAAGGATTATATATTCCGACATGTAATAGAAGCAGTCAATAATAGAGGCAAGAAGTGATGGCAAACTGAAGGAGGAAAGGGAACACACAGTCTCTCCCACTACAACTGTTCTGCTGCAATGTGTAAGGTACAATAATTGGGGGGAAGATTATGTTTGAGCCAATCCAGTTTAATCTGTAGTGATTTCACCTATCACTAGTACTAAGATGAAGCCAATATGCTTGTATGAATCTCAAAAGAGAAATTTCACTACTCTTATACTCATTGGATTTCCCCCAAAATCCCTTGCCTGCAAAGTTGCCTTGAAGGTTGACCATTCTGAAAGTCAGACACAGAGTCTGTACTATGGAGCTTCAATTCCTTGGAGATGGCTCTGTGGGGGTGATGTCAAATAACATGTAATAAATGAATGGGAATCTCTGTCACTTTGGGTAATTTCAGACCTGGAATACTGATTTGAAACAAAACGTATGAAATAAGCCTTTTGGTGCCAGTTTGTTGTGGCTAACCTGTGGCAGATGAGTATTTTCTTGTATAGCTTAAATTTATATTTTGAGACAAAATGGTCTGGAGTTATCATCATCATCATCAAACCTTTTATTGGCATCACATACAAACATCCATAGTAAATCAGTACAGAATTACCACCTCCCCAATGTCACAGAACATTTGTCAAATGAAAAGAGGTGAAAAAGTCTAACGTTACAGCTCTAGGTCTCCAGGAAGATCAGACGTCTGCAATGTGTTTCTGTGACAAAAAACCAAATAAAGATATTTAGCCACTAATTTGGTGAGCTCCTTATCATTCCCCAGTAATAGAAAATGTATGACCTCCAACTCTGGTTTCCATTTGGGGATGCAAAGTTGATCTAGAAACTGCTGGCGGAGATCAGCATATAGTTTACATTTAAGAACCATGTGAGTAAGAGTTTCCAGCAGGTGGTCTTCACATGGGCATATTCTTTCTCCTTCCACCATTCCCGAGAACCTACCCCAAAGGAAGTTTGATGGGTTTGAATTAAATCTGGCAGAAATTCAAGATAATTATAATTAGTTTCATGTGCCCCAGAAAGTTTAAAGTAAAGAGGGGAACATGTTTTTTCTGCTGCTGCTGCTGCTGCTGCTAGTTCCTGGAGTTCAATGTCCCACAACCTAGTTTTATTATAGCCTTGGCAGATGGTGGAGGCATCGATTGCAAAAAGTTCCATTGACAGTCCAAGTTGCTGTACCTTTATGTTCAACTGTTGTAGCCATGGGGAAAGAAGTCTGACAAGACTTCGCTGAGGAGAGGATCTTTGTCTAATGTGAGGTAGATGTTTAACTAACATAGAAGAAATCTCGCCCAGGCAACAGTCTCTACCTTATGTTGACCGTCTGGAGTTATGGTGCAACTAGTTATATCATTTTTCCTAAGGAGATGAATGCCTGAAAATGGTCTTTAATAGAGTCTAGTCACTGCTTGAAATAGCGGTCAATTGTGATGATGTCCTAGGGTAAGTTACAGCAATATAAATACAGCATTTAAAATGGTTTAAAATAAATTTCAATCAAACCTAAAAAGTGTCCTAAAAATATGTCTCCCAAGGTGTCAGAGGCCCAGGGTGAAGAGGTGTCAGCCACATTTAAGGAGTGAGCCAGTAAGTTCCTGAGAAATGTAGAGGTTAAGAGAAGAAGATCAAATGGAATAATATGAGGCATGAGAAAAAAGGGGGGGAAAAGGAACTCCCTGTGAGGAGAATAAAGAGGGGGGAAAGCGTCTGAAGGGACTATGGGAGTGCTGGCAACAGATCCAAGAACATTTTCAGTATCAACTGGAGTCACTGCCAGAGGGGAGTACAAGCCTCCAGAGGAAGGATATCTTAAGAATGAAGAAACAAATGTAGAAGTATAAAGATGAGCTCTGTGACCCACTTAATACTCAGTTGTAAACGTCAGGATGGAGTTATGTCTTGAATATCACCAGGAGAATATAAAGTGATCTGGAAAGAATCAAAGGAGGGAAGGAAAGTCAATGTTTTGATTGCTTAATTCATTATTAGAATGTATAAAATGAAGCAGAATTTTAGTCACAGCCACTTAGGGCCAAAGTACATGATATGTTAAATGTGTGAATGCAATAAACATGTCTTGATTTTTGTTATTTGAAAAACATCCACCAGGGGTAGGGAAATGATGCTGGCCAATGGCAGCTTTTCTACCCAGCCAAATAGCAGCTACAGGGGAGTCCCCCCCCCTTTTCATTTTTTTTATCAAGACCACAGGGACAAAGAATCAGCCTCATCCCTGTGCAAAATGGCCCTGATCCTTATCCTCACCCCCACTCCACACAGCTGCTATTTAAATAAGGAAAAACAGAGACATTAAATGCATTCTTGTCTAGTTGGACCCTCAATTTATTTCCTTTCCTACCATAAGGCTAATGTCTCTATTGGATCATTAAAAAGCTCTCGCCATCCTCATTAGGTAGCAATTGTAAATATTGTCCATAGAAAACCCCAAGAAAATAAATGTTATGTCCTTGGAGAAATCTTCCCAGTTCCATCTGAACACAAATGCCATAATATGATGTTTTCAGTGCAACATAAAAACCTGGTAAAGCTCTCCCTACTGAGATCCACAAAGGAGACTATTACGCTGATCCTACTGACATTTTAATGGGGGGGGGGGAAGGAGTTGAAAATAAAAAGGTACATTTGATTTTTTAAAAAAAGATTTATTTTCTCCCTTGGGAACAGAGTACCCAAGCAGCATGAAACATTTAAATGTAAAGTATTTGATTTAAATTGCTACTTACTTGGAGATTATGTCAGCCATTTTCTGCTGGAGAGAGCCACTGCTGCTCATATCTGATGTGCTAGCACACTCTTAACTACCCAGCTTTTTCCTCCAAAACAAATACAGTGGTACCTCGGGTTACATACACTTCAGGTTACATACGCTTCAGGTTACAGGCTCCGCTAACCCAGAAATAGTGCTTCAGGTTAAGAACTTTCCTTCAGGATGGGAACAGAAACCGTGCTCCGGCGGCGTGGCAGCAGCAGGAGGCCCCATTAGCTAAAGTGGTGCTTCAGGTTAAGAACAGTTTCAGGTTAAGTACAGACCTCCAGAACGAGTTAAGTACTTAACCTGAGGTACCACTGTACCTCAGATAGAACATGAACCTTCTTCTTTTCTTTAAATGGTTTATCTACAATATCCCCCATTTTATCTTTGTAAGGGAGCAAGCTACTGAATAGGAACCTGGTCTATGACTGGTGAACAAGAACACAAGGTGAGCCCTCCTGGATCAGACCAAAGGAAAATCTAGTTCAGAGAAGCCCACAGGCAGATTGTGATGGCAGTTCCTCAGTGCCTAGTCTTCAGCTGCCTCTGGTCCTTGGGGAACCATCATGAGCAGTAGCCAATGACAGCCATGTCCTCCACAAATTTGCCTACTG